AAAATATTATATTCTTAAACGAAATATCATTTTTTAAAATGATGAAAATAAAACTTTTATTTTGTTCAAGAAAATCTTTTTTTTTTTTGTTTTTTTTTTTTGTTAAGGCAGGGGAAATGCATTACGCACGCCCCCCAGGGGTTGACGACCCCCCAGGAGGCAGTGTGGGACTCTCCCCCCCCGCGCATCTAATTGGCGGGGGGGGGGCTTACCCACTAAAACCCCTGCCGGGTCCCTTCCTCGGCAGCCGTAACGAGGGCGTTCCGGGAAGCTTTTCGCATCCATCCGGGGCGCCCCCAGCCGCCAGAGGCTTTCGCCGTCCGTTCTCGGGCCGAAGGGTGGGTGCCGCCATACTTGGCGACACCAACGACCCTCCCCCAAGCGCTCCATGGGGTGCGGGGGGGGGGTATGCTCCCTCCGGCCGTTCCGTCTCATAGCCGCGCAGCGCGAGACCCCACGCCGCGCGGCCCATTCCCCCTTGGGAAGGGGCGGGGCCGGTTCGCCACCCGGTCACCCGCCCCTTATGTCTTTGGTCCCGGCCGGCTTACAGGGGGGAGGAGCAGGCTTGTGTCGGCCCCCTCCCCCCTGCGGTCAGGACCCTCCTATCCCTGGAGGGGGGGGGAGCAGCTGCGAGTGCGTCCGCAATGCCCCCTCCCCCCCGAAGGAGGGGCGCGCATCGTCGCCACCCTACCCCCTCTCCCTCGCCAGCCGCTCCAGGCGCCGCCGCCGAGTCTTGGCGGCACCTGTCGCAGACGGAGGGACTGGAGCCGCCGCCTGCGGGCTTCTAATGCCCTAGTAGCGGCGGCCTCCCTCCTCTGGCGTCTTTCTTCGCGTCGCCTCCTCCGCTGGGGAGGCGGCCCGACGTGCGCAGCCGGCGCGGCCCCTGGTGAGGGTGGAATAACCCTTTCCGCCACGCCGACTTGCGCCCTTCCTCCCGGTGCCGGCACACCCCGTTGGTGTGCCGGCCGAGGGCGTGGGGCGCGGCGAATTCGCCGCCCCCCCACAACCATTTCCCCCCGTCTGGCCCTCTCCTGCTCCTCCTTCTGCGACATAACTTCTTCGCAGAAGGAGGTGACAGCTGACCAGGCCTCTCGCCCCCCTAACATGGCCCTGATAAGGGCCGGGGGCGAGAGGTCCGCTCCCACCACGCTTGTGAGGACACGGCGCTGTCCCTCCCACGCCGGGCATTCGCCCAGCGTATGTTGCGCCGTGTCCTCAGCCGCATCGCAATGGTGGCAGCGGCTGGTGCACTCCTTCCGGACGACCCTATACAGGTACTCACCAAAGCAGCCATGGCCGGTGAGCACCTGGGTCGTCCGGAACGTGAGATCTCCGTGTGACCTGCCTACCCACTCCTGCAGGCAGGGCCGGATGGCATCGGCGACCCTCTTCCCGGAGCTGCCCGTCGCCTCCTCCAGCTGCATCTTCCAGCAGAGGAGGAGGCGTTGTCGGGCCTGCTCCCTAGCGAGGGCTATGGCCCTGGCCAGTTCCTTCCCATTGTTGGTCCCCCGGCGGAGCTCCCCAGTACGCCGATAGTTTTCGGCGTACATCATAGCGAGGAGCTCTACCGGGGGGATTCCTGCCAGGGCCGTGGCGGCCGCGTGCGACGTGGTCCTATAAGCCCGGGCGAAGCGAGTGGCCATAAACCTTTGGGCCCGGCGGACCATTTGTTGGATTCGCCGGGACCCGGCCATCTCCCCCGCCCAGATCGGGGCCCCGTATAGGGCCACCGAATGGACCACGTTCGCAAACAGCCGCCTAGCCCGCCTTTTCGGGCCGCCGACGTTGGGCAGGAGAGCACCCAGCGCACCCGCTATCCTGCCCAGCTTGGGGGTTAACACCTCAAAATGTTTCTCAAACCCCCAAGCGCCATTCAGGGTGAGCCCGAGATACTTCATCTCGGTACCCACCCTCACGGAGATCCCGCCGATCCGGAGCTTTAATCGAGGTTGTCTCCCCCTACTCCCGTCATGGAAGAACAAGGCTTCCGTTTTCGGGGGAGACACCTCGAGACCCATGCTCCGGATGGAGTGCACCACCTGGTCGAGGGCCAGCTGCCCCATGTCTCTGGCCTGTTTCCAGCCCCGTTCCCCGGCCACCACTAATGTGTCGTCCGCATAGTAGACGACGTGGCAGCCGGGGGGGAGGGCGGTCCGGAGAACCTGGTCGTATGCGATGTTCCACAGAAGAGGGCCGATTACTGACCCCTGCGGAACACCGCAATACACCCCCCTTCCGCATTGGAGTTCCGCTTTATTGCGGAACTCCAAGCGCCTGTCTCGGAAGTAGTCCCTAGTTATGTGGACTAGGTAGGGCGGGAACCTAAAGTGGGCCATTCCCGCCTCTACCCGGTCCCAGGGGAGGGTATTAAAGGCGTTGGCTATATCAATTGATACAGCCACCGCCACCCTCCCCTCCCTCACGATGGCCTCCTAGAGGGACCTGACGCGCTTGATCGCGTCCACGGTCGATCGTCCCCCTCGGAAGCCATACTGCGCGTCGCTGAGCGCGGGACCATTCCGGGACAGGTGCCGGACGAGGCGGGCTTGTATGATTCTTTCGAACATTTTGCCCGCCTCGTCCAACATACACAGAGGTCTGTATGCGGAAGGGGTGTCCTCCGGCTTGCCCTCCTTGCGTAAGAGGACCAGTCTGGCCCTCTTCCACGGGGCCGGAAACAGGCCAGCCCCGAGGCAGAGGGAGAAAATCCGCCTAAGGCGGCCCCCCAGCCTCCCTTCTTCGGCCAAGGCCAGGGCCCATATTCGGCCCGGGATGCCGTCAGGGCCCGGCGCCTTTCCTTTGACGCCGAGCCTCTTGGCGGCTCGCCTCATTTCCTCCATCGTTACCCCGAGCTCTTCCTCCTCCCAGTCGAGAGGAGGTCCCGTGTAGGGTGGGATGTTGTTCCCCACCCTCGGGAACAACCCCTCCACAATTTTGTCTAGGAGCTCGGGGTTAAGGGTATCCGTAATTGGGGGCGCCCATGGGCGCAATCGTCGCATTACCATCCGGTATGGGGGCCCCCAGGTATCCCGGTCTACGGAGGAGATGAGGTCCTCCCAGGCCAAGGCCTTGGCCTTGGCGATGGCCCTTCTTACGGCGTCTCTCCTCTCCGTGAGGACGGCCGATGCCGCCACCCGCGCGTCCCTGTCCCGCAGAGCCGCCATCGCCTTCCAGGCGCGGCCGGCGGAGCGCCTAAGCTCGGCGATCTCCGCCGACCACCAATAGGCGGCTTTGCGGGCCGGCGGGGGGGGAGAGGACCGGGACATGGACGCATCGCACGCGCCCTGCATCACGCCCCGGATCCTCATAACTTCCCCCCCCC